TGTTTTGCCGTGGTTGAAATAAAATCACAATAGTATGCCAAGAGGTTTCTGGATAATAATTACAGCTAAGAAACCACTTCTGGGGCCGGCCCGGTGGCGCGCTGCTACAGTGTGCCGCTTGGGAAGCGCGGTGGCGCTCCCGCCAAGGGTTCGGATCCCACATACAGACCGGTTCCCGCTCGCTGGCTGAGCGAGGTGTGGGAGCAACCCCGAGGGTTGTGATCCCGTTGCCGGTCCTGGTCCGGTGCGGGCGCGACACTGAGGGTTGCGATCCGTTGCCAGACACGAAAAAAGACAAAAAGGAAAAAAAAAAAAAAAAAAGAAACCACTTCTATGGTAACATGGGTGAGGCTACAAATTTAAAACATTGGTTTTATTTTCAACAGCTCTGTAATTTTATTACTGTCCTTAAATTTTCAAAGAATTTATTCACAAATATTTGTCATTATTTTAAACATGCTCGAACATGGCTCACAGTAAAGGAAATTTTTTGCCAGAATGATGTTCATGCAATTGAAATACAGGTAAACAGATGGTAACCACTAGTTCAAGGGGGCTCTCACTAGCATCTTTTATGTGTTTGACCAAGACTGCCTCTCTAGTCTATTTCCCTGAACACACTGGATTCATCACCTCATTCAATCTCAAGTACTTGGAATATTCCACACAGAGATGTCAAAACATGCCGCAAACCTGAAAGCATCTTCATACAGACATAACATTAGACAGACAGTCAGAAAGAAAACCAAAAAAACCCTCATGATTGTTGTTCTAACCACTGGAAACTTTCTTATACTATATGTGCTGAGAAGAAATTCATGGAATTGGGCAGTTAATCAGTTTTATATTTATTCCAAGAACCACCATCAATCATAAATACCCATAATTTTGGATCAACTATTAATAACTGGTTTAGACTTCCAAGCCTACACTTAACTGCTTTGCCATTTAACTTCCTTACTGAGGGTAGAAAATGCCACTGGTGTCAAAAGGTTTAAATTATATAATTGTCTCAAGAACTAAAAATGGTATTCCAGGACTTTTAATTTTCTTCTGTATGTAACTGAGAAACATAATTATCTCCAATCTCTCTCTCTTTCTCACTCTCTCTCTCTGCCTGTCCCTTACTCCCTCCTGAGATACCACTGAAAAATGAGATGTTTTATACCCTGGTTAATAAATTTATTTTATTGAGTTCTAATATCAAAGAGAAATTCAAGGAGGGAGGCATTATTGACCAACTCTGAATAAGTTTACCATAATTTATGTAAGCTAAGAATATATGACTTGACTTTAATATGGAACAACCTAGCACCCTCAAATGTGACCATAAATTGGCAATTGAAATATGAAAAGGGTGACAGAAAGAAAGTAGTTTCATTAGGAAAGATGTAGGGTACAAAGAAAAGCATCAAGCTGCTACCTCTTAAATCTTGGGGAGTATTTATTTTATTTGATGTATTAGTAGAGACTATCAGATAAATGTTTCTGGTCACATTTATGGCAATAATATTTTTTTTAAATACTGGGTGTTGCTCATTTGACTTACAACATAATAGACCATAAAAACCAAGAAGTATTGGGGATAGAATTGAATAGGATTTCAAAATCTCATGCATGCTTCTCTGAGTGCACACCTGTTGCGGCCCAGGAAGCTTGCCTTTGACCAGGAAAGGAAGGGGGATTTTATAGCTTTGTTCTGCCATTGAAGTTCCAAGTATAAAATATAAAGGAAAGTATTCGCTCAGCCAATCGTAGAACTATTTTTGACTGTGCTACCTGTTAATGATTAGGTAACAATTTTCAGTTAGAAGTAACTAAGAATTCTGAGAGTAGTGTTTTAGCCTTCAATCCCTCTAACTGATGTCAAGAGCATATATAAGGAGACAAAGCTAAACATAAAAATGCTTGCTATAAAATGGACCCACCATGACATTCCTCAAAAATAAATAGTTAAATGAGATGAACAAGCAAATTTAGACCCAAGATTCAGGTTCTCCAATTCTGCTATTTGGAACCTATGACCTAACACTGACTCAGCTCCTTACATTGCCAACAGTAGGTACTTTATCCAGTTTACCTTTCTGTGGTCTTCTTTCTGCCATCCTACAGTTCAGAGATGATTCAGGATTCTACCTAAATCCTGAAGCTACATAATTCTTCCTTATGCGGTCCTTCCCTTTTGATATTTGGTTGATGGACCTAACTTAGATTTCAGCTTACAGTATGAACTTGGGTTTTAATTTTCCTAACAGATACCATTTACCAGCCCAATGGATGCCTAAATTATTAACCCTATTATCTGACATAATCAAGAAATAGGTGTTCTGGTTATCAAATATTTTACTAGCAGATTAGTGCTACATATGCAATGAATAGATCATCAATATTCAAGGTACAGAAATAAAATTTATTTAATGATAATGACATATTATACTCTGAAATTATATTATTGACTTGCTTACTGTATTTTCTGTCTCTTCCAAGTAGAATAGAAGCTAGAAGTCCCTGCCCTGACAGCAGCAACTGTCATTTCATTTCATGTCTGTTGTTCATTTATATATGCATATGTATATGTACGTGTATATATACATACATATACTTGACAGATAGGAAATAGTATTGTCAAATAAATGAATGGTAAAATCAACATAATTCAATCTTTTTGATTCAGAAGGTATTTTAGAATTGCACAAATTTTTAGGAGTATCAGGTACCGTATGTGCATAAGCATGTCCAGTGATAAAGTGCTTATTAACAGATTGCTAGATAATGGAGTTTATGACATTTTCATTTTAGGCAGTTAAAATGTTGATTGAGCACCTAATTCGCACTCTACACTGAGTTGCATTAACAGGCAAATAAAATGAAGTGTCTGACTAATCTCTTACTCACTATGAGATTCCAGTCCCTGCCCTGTAAAAGAGGTCAGATAAAAACTGTAACCATTATTAATAGTGGGACAACCAGACATTATGAGCCTCTTGATGTACTCAGCATCACCTTTGACACTGCCTTGCCAAAAATGTTTGACTTGATCTAATCAAGCCTTCAGCCTAACTTCCATCTACAGGAACCCCCAGAGAAGAGGTGCTAAAAAAGATAACAGGAGAAAATAATCATACACATCTTGAATTTGGGAGAAACTGACCTGGTCTTTTTAACAAGTCAATGCTACTGGGGTGGGGAGAAGGGAAGGAGAGAAGAAAGAGAGAGAGACTTGCTTAGATGTAACAATCAAATGTAATACATGGTTCTTTACTGGAGCCTGGTTTTTGAAAAAAACAGCTATAAAAAACATTTATGGAACAATTTGAAAGACAGACTAGGTGTTAGATATTAGGATATTATCATTAGTTTTGTAGATGAGGTAATGGTATTATGGGTATATAGCAGGATATTCTCATTTTTTGAGATACATGCTAAATATTCAGGATGAAATGTGATGATGTCTGTCATTTACGTTAAGGAGGTTCAGCAAAAAATGAAGATGAAGCAAATGGGGCCACATGTTAACAACTACTGAACTAAGTGGGGTGAGTGGGGGTTTTTAAAAATTTTTAATAAATTTGTTTCAATGTTCATGGGTAGCAACTTCTCAGGAATTTCCTTCACAGTACTGAGAGCTCCTAATTAAAATTAACTTCTTAATATTTCCACAAACCATCCTCTATCAGCAATTCGAGTAAGTCATCACAGACAAAAGCGGTTATAATGACACATATCACAGGTAGGAATCATTTTTGTTCCTAAACCAGTTTTCCAAATTCCCTTTTTGAAAAAGACTTTTCAGTTTACCTTTTAAAATGAAAGATCCAAAAAATGTCTTATTTGCCTCAAGCTTGGTCTCTTTTAATTGACAGAAAACCTCTCCACACACACCTCATGCAAACCTACTTTGGTTTTTCCTTCCTAAAACTAGCTTTTGTCTCTGAACTTTACAGAGCAGTTGGAGCTCTTTAATATTTTCTAAGAGAAACATTTCAAACAAGTAACCCTGCAATTTATTCACTACTGCCAAGAATAAAAGTAACAGGTTTCACCACCAAGGCCTTCCAAGGCTTTGCATGACTTTTAAGGCAAAGCATCACTCATTCACCTGCAGGTTGGCTCCATTAATGCATCTGTCATTTGTTTGGCCCTGGAGGAAACTATTTGATTACACAAAATTCTTTTTAGATCAAGTTTAAAATCTTGGCCACACTGGGACAAGTGGCGAAGCCTGCCAGCTCTATGGGTTAACACTTGGACATACTGAGCCAAGGACAAAGACAAGGAGCAACCACAGGTTAAAATCAGAAGTTTAAAAAACTGAAAAGGAATGAATGTACAAGATGCAAGGCTTAGCTGGGCCCTTATAAGTGCTCTATTTGCCATGCCTGCATATAAGATGATTTATTCCTCATACTTCCTGTAAAAGAGCACAACTCCCTAAGGGGCACTGGTAAGCATCAGTAAATGCAAAAGCCACCAGGACCAGTTGCATCCATCCACTGCTGTGCCACCTATGCATCTGGAAGTTGGCAAGTAACCAGACATCTTTATGTACCTCCATTTCCCATACCTTATTATAGGGCACATCATTTTTAAAAGCATCTAAATGAAGCAGATGTTAACCCACTTTCCCAGGGAACATGTCAATGATGATTTTTAAAATGCAAAAGAAAATGTCAAAGTATTTTGTTCCCTGGTTAAGAATACATCTGTGCAGTAAGAGAGAGAAAATACATAAAACACTCTATGGTCATTCAAGAAATAATTATAAGGTATGTCAAACTACAGAAAATTGAGCAAGCACTAAATTAAAAAAAAAAAAAGGATGTCTTGTGTCAAAATGGCTTTTTCACTCACTCATTTCAAAAACAGGTTTTGAAAATTAAATTCCATCTACCAGCTCAGAACAGAGCACATTAAGGCTTGACTGTAATGCCATTATCCATGTGGCAGCTCCCTTTCTTTTCTGAAACTGCATTAATTGACAAAGAAGCCTAGGGGCTCACCTCCCATAGTGCCTTGAAGTCCTTCTGCTCAATGCGGAGCAGTTCGCTGCTCTCCCTGGTAACGATGGTTGCATGGCGGGGTGTGTTGTCCAGAATGGACTCTCCAAAGGCTGTCCCAATTCCCAGGGTACAGATGGTCACGGCATCCTGTAAATCCCCAAAACTGGTCATTAGAAAATTAAACATCTAACGGATGGGTGAGTTGTCTTTTCTTTGAATGGAAGTGTAATTATGTACAAAATAAAACATCCGATTTAACTGTACAGTTTAATAAATTTTGACAAATATATACACTGGTGTAATTACCACTCAAATGAAGACACAGAACATTTCCATCAACCCCCAAAAGTTCCCTCATGTCCCTTTCCAGTCAAGACCCTCCTTTCAGAGGTAATTACTGTTCTGATTTCTATCATCATAAGGGAGTTTTGCCTGTTTTAGAACTTCGTATAAAAGGAATCAGACAATATACTCATTTGTGTCTGGCTTCTTACGCTCAACATAATGTCTGTAAGATTTATCCATGTTGTTGCATGGAACACTAGTTTTTTCCTTTTATTGATGAGTAGTTTTCTGTTATGTGCATATATGCCACAATTTGCTTATCCATTCTCCTATTAGTGGACATTTGGGTTGTTTCTAGCGTGGAAACATTATGAATATAGCTGCTAGCAAGAATCTTGCTATCTTTTCATATGACTACTATCTGCTTTAAGAAGAGGGGGAGAGTCTATTGAAGATGAACTCAGTTTTTTTTAGTTAGAGGGTTCAGTTACAATATTTAAATGGGAAACTGGAATAGGGGTGCAACTATTTTTGTCCGCCTGTCTTGAAGAGATGAGAAAACTGAGGGTCAAAGTGGTGGATTCACATGGCTCCAGTTCACACAGTTAATAAGTAGTGAGGCCAGATTCTAACCAAGTCTAGCTCACGGTAGATATTAAGCTTTTTGTATCATGCTGCCTCCTGCAGCCACAACAGAGTAAAAGCAGCATCTGATGAAGTACAGCGGGGCTAGTTTATAAAATGTTGTGAATCAATGATTAAAAAGTTTCTTAAGGAGTACTAAAAAAGTAATTTCCTCTCTGCATGCAACATTGGTGATAATGTTTGGATTTAATCCTAACTAGTTTCAAATAATGCAAATAGCCACTCAAAATCACCTGGACATTAATTTTGCAAAGCATTATAAACTAAGGGAAATACACAAGGGTAATCCTCTGTGTTAGAAAGCTCAGTCTTCCTTTCATGCATCCAATACGTGATAATAGGCAAACGTTATTAAGATCAAGTTAGTGACTCTGTAATCACATTACTAAGACACCTGCCCATAAGAGTCCAGTCCTTGAACTATAGCAAATTGCTTTGGTACAGATATTACCATATAAAATTATGTACAGGAAAATAAAATCAATAATATCTCAGAAAAGAATAAAAGATCAGGGGAGAATTTATGAATAGCCTGTTAATAAATTTTCCAAAAAGTCAGCTGCAAACAAATTCACTCAGAAAAATATCCCCAGAACTGAAATATCAATACTCAGCAAGTTAGGTATCTCTGAATAATTTTCAAATTCTAGTAAAAACACAAGATAGATTATGATAAATCAGAGACTTTCACAAATCCTCTAGAATAGCAGATTTCCCTGAGGCTCCCACCAGCCTACTTCATTTTTCTATCACCTGAACCCTTGAGAAATAATTCGTTTGCCTAATTTGTACTTTCCAGCATTAAATTCTACTTTAAAACTTGAGAGGGATGGACCATAAGTATTTTGCTGCCACGATCCACATAACTTAAATATCTAAGCTATTTGCAGCATACTATAGAATGCATAGGAACTATGAAGCTCTCAGTTATTCATGAGCTAGTTGCAGAGTTTATGGATTAGCCAGTCTTCCCCTTTCTCACCTCCCATTTCTGACACATGTAGTTTGTCACCAGACGGTACACAGAGAAAGACACAGGCTATGAAACTTATACAAGCCTGTGTTTTTACCAGTGAACAGTTCTTGTTGGAAAGACAAAAGATTGAATTTATTCTTGGATATTCCCTGGTGATTTTGACCTTACCCATGCCTTATCATATACACCAAAATAGAGTCATGGTAGGGTTGGGACCTGCTCTGTAACGAGAGGACCATGCCAGTGAGTGTACAGCCACCATCATCGGCTCAGGCCCCGGGCTCACTTCCAGGAACACATGCTCTCCTAAGAAATGAGTGAAAGATCAGTCCTTTCTATGTCTCCCTCACACTTGGTCCACTCAAATTTAAGAACAGGGAGTCACAAATTACAAGATATGATCTTAAAATTGGGACTGGAAAACCTTATCTGAAAGGAGTATTATTTGCAAATTCAAACTTTACTTTGAGCAGATGTAGAGTATTTTAGGACAAATTTACTTAGAAATCTAAATGGATTGGGGAGGTATGGGTTGGCCACTTTGATAACTGGGCACAGGGAAGTAGAAAGTGCCAGGAAGAACATTTTCACTCTAAAGACTAAACACTATCTTCATGGTCCATGGGTGCTAGGCCTTATTTACATTTCAATCCCAAGCAAGGCCTTGCAATGTGCTTAGAAAGTAATTATCAAATAAAGAAATTTACATCCAAATGCTTTCCCATTGAGCAGAACCCATTTATGTATGTTGCTCAGTATTACTCCAAAAGGCAGGATAAATGTGAACAGGACGAATGTGAGTCAATGTGAAGGAAACACATTGGTCCGCACTTCTTTTGGTCCACACTAAAGTCTAACCAGGTCCCTACAGTCAGAATCCCAAGCCCGGAACCCTGAAGATGTGCTGAATGAATGCCTCTGCCTGTTGCTTAGAGTGTCTGTTTCTGAATAACATCACAATTTCTTCTAAGCTTACACTGGAGGTCTGCTCATGTCTCAATACTTAATAGGGGCTATTCAGAAGGACATTTTTATTTTCTGCTCATTTGCAGGTTAATGTTCAGAGAGGCCATCTGAAAGAAAATGTTTACAATGACATAGAGACTGAAGAAAGCAATCAGCACCTACTCAGGGAATAAGAAACATTAACAACAGTGAAAGAATGTCCTATTTTGCCATAGATGGCAATTTATTTTGAAGACTTTCAAATGGGAAATGAAAATTTAAAAACCAAAACGTCTTCAACATATAAAGGTGGGTTTAGCAGATGCTGCTGGAGCCCTGCCAGATTCCTCTCCACCTCCAAAGTCATTTGTAACTTTCTAGATGGTTCCCATACACACCTGTGGTGTCCCACCTCCAGCACCTGCATCATAGCTCTACTTGGGGGCAGAGTGGTAGGCAGTTAATGCCTTTAAGGTGCAACCTCCACCAAAGAGGCTTGACAGTGGGGGGATAAACACCCCAGCTTCCTTACCGTGCACAGTTTCTTAGAGAGTTCCCAGAAGGAGTGAGTCCAGTTGTGCATAGTGGAAACACTCTTATTAAGACACTTTCATTGCCTTTTCTTCCTTGTCTCACTCCCCCACTCCCTTACCGCACTTCCTGGGGTCATCACCAAAAAACCACTTGTAGCCAAATCATTGTCTCCAGGACTGCTTCTGAGGAAACCCAAAATAACAGAGTGAAGTAATCAATATGGCTGTGGATCCTAAATTGCACTGTGACCTTGGGGGAGCAGGGGTCATGGGGGAAGTGGGGTACTGGACCAAACCAGCATTCGCAAAGACACTTCTGTAATAGGGACAGAGATTAGCTTATCGCTCACCACTTGCATCAGACATATCATAAGTGCAGTATTCCTTGGGTGACATGTGGGAAGACTACATTGTGTAAGTAAACATACTGGGTCACCCAAGGCCAATTCTACTGTATAATAAGGGGTGATGGGTTCTCAAAAAAATTACCTATGGCATATCACTTACATGTCTGCTGGTTTCCTCCTTTGATCTGATCCAGCTATCTCTAATCTATCAGTCCACTTGATCACTCCTTCCCCTTCCTCCCTCTAAAACACACACTTACTTACTTAATTACCCACTGACCCTTACTAGTACATACCCTCCTGTGCAGCAGCATGCATGGGGAGCTGCATGTGTGGGAGTGGAGACCAGGCCAAGCACTAGGCCAGAGGTCCTGACTATGACATTTCATTTATTCTTCATAACAGTTAAATGAGGCCATGTATTTAAATTGCTTTGCACAGTGCCTAACTCAAAACAAATGCTTAATAAAATGTGAATATTCTTACTGACAGTAGTATTAAAACATCAGTAATGCTATTGCTATTTTATAGGTTGAGCAAAATCAGATGTTCAGTAACTTGCTCAAGACCATGGCTAGTAAGTGGAAGAGCTGAGACTAGACACAAGTCAGTCTAATTACCCATCCATATACTTCTTAGATTGTCATATGAAGGGCTTAGCAGGAAAATCAGTTAAGGTGTTAATTTAATCCATTTATGTTCTTTTTTCAGTCAGCCAATCTAAATATTTATTGAATATCTAATAAGTCCAAATCACCAGGAAAATACAAAACATTTGGCACTGCTCCCCCCTCTAATCTTCCATTTTCCATACTGGGGTCCACTTGACCCTCCCTAGAGGATCAAATCTATCCAGGCAATCCTCTTACTCATTAGGAGAAACTTAAGGTATCATAAGCCAGTAACTAAGAGTTGAATCAGCATTTCTGCTTTTCCCACTCTGATCCTGTGTCCCAGTTCTAATAATGAAGTTCCTTGCTCGGCTGGAGAAACTGGGTTTCTGTCTTTCTGAGTCTCTGCTTTGATAACCTGCCTGGTAACCTAATTCTTCTCAAAGTGGCAGTGCCTTACCCTGACAGCCCTCCCGGAGCCCCAATTCCTCTCTGGCAGTCCTTCTGTGGCCAGAGTTCTCAGCCTGCAGGCCGCCCACCTCCACTGCTGGGCCCCTTCCTGCCTCCCTCCCCATCAGCAAGCCAGGCCTCATCATGCTACCACTTACACATCCCTCGGCCCTTCACCATCCTAACCTGGGGCTGGGTTACCCCACCTTCTGCTTCCTCTCCACCTCCTGCCCAGCACTGCCTCCACATGCCCTCTAGATACTTCCTACCTCCACCAGTGGCAGCTCCCAGTTTCCAGGTTCTCCTCCTCCACCCAGCTAGGCACCAGCTGAAGCCATGAACAATATCCTGGCTC